TGGCTGGCTTTTAAAGGCGTCAAGGGAAACGATGACCCAAAAGCATGTAGGAAAAGCAGGGGAGACACTACCCATGGCAGGCCTCCTCTTCTTCTGAGCTCTTCCACCTTAACTCCACTGAAACCACCAAGGTCATTCACTCTCCCTGCTCTGGGATGCCTCTTGGGGAATCTGGGCAAAGCACCCCCAAAACAATGCTGGCCAAACCTAGAGGTGCTTTAGAGCCTGGTGCCCATCTAGTGGAAGTCCAGACTACGAACAGATAAAAACCCAGTGTCTACCCGGGAATACATGTACACACCCCAGAACTCTGTAGACCGGTGGTTCTTAATGGGGAATGGCCACTGCTACCACCACCCTACTCCCCTGGCCTGGGGACATTTAGCAATGTCTGGACATACCTGGGGAGTGACGGGGACACGGGCTGCTACTGGCATTACCAGGGAGTGGTCAAAGATGTTGCCAAACATCCTAAATGCACAAGACAGACTCCCTCTCATCCCCCAAGAAACAGTTATTTGACCAGAATGTCAACAGTATCCAAGTTGAGAAGCCCTGCTCCACTTCAGACGACCTGGAGCAACACGAACTTGCAAGTTCCTTCGCAGGAGCAGACTACCCCATTTTTACCAATTTATCCACACTGGATCTGACAGGGCACGGTTGAGGGGCCCGCCACAGTCATCAGTCTTATAAATTCCATTCCAAATCGACTTTAGGCCATGACTTAGGTAGACGTTAAAAAGAAAAATGTGATATACCAAATGTTAACTCTTACCAAATGTTAAAGAGGTATCATCACCAAAACTGAAAATACATACACAGACTTTTCCTTAAATTTAACAAAGCAGAAAATTTAACTCTTTTCACTTGACTAACAAATACCACCTTGTAGTGAAGTTCCAAAATTAGCATGCCAGCCTCCGCCCACTGCCATATTCTTGATTACAAAAGAGAGCTACTTAAAGTAGAACATCCTAAGGGTTCAAAATAACACGTTGCTTTAGAAAATGAGAAGCTACTACAGTATGAAGCCTTTTAATTCTTTTGGGACTACAACCAGGAGAGGTAGAGCTGGGTCAAATGGAATTTCCACTTTTAGGTTCTTGAGGAATTTCCATACGGAATGCCAAAGTCGTCGTATTAGTTTACATTCCCACCAATAAAGTAATCACACTAGAGCGGTACATGCACCCCATGTTTACAGCCGTGTAGCTCACAGTGGCACGTCTCTGGATACAGCCTTGATGCCGATCAACAGGTGAACAGATAAAGAAAATGTGGTACCTATTTACAAAAAGGAATATTATTCAAGAATGGAGTTATTCCACCTGCAGGAAAGCGGATGGAACCCGAGACCAAGACGTTAAGTGAAATAATCCAGACCCATGAAGTTTAATATCATGTGGTTTGTTTTATATGAGAAATCTAATGAATGAATGAATGAATGAATGAGAGATGGTAGGAAACAAAAAGGTAAGAGTATTAGATGAGAAAGGGTATCAGGGGAAGAGGAGGGAGAAGGGTAAAGGGATCAAAATGGTAAATGTTCTATATATGTCCCAATTCCCCAATATGAACTTAACTATTTACACAGCAATAAAAAAGGAAAAGAAAATGAGAAGCCACAAATCTGAAAGCCAAAGAATCAATGTGCGTTTATCTCATCATCATTTCACGGAGGCTGTTAATATTTTACTTAAGCCATAACAGTCTCAAGCCAAGGAATGTAAGAAACCGTCTATAGTCACCTTCCCAGAATTCCCTTCCACTGTCTTTCATAATATCTTACCAATTAACAGTCTGTCCATCGCTAAGTTGTTTCCAGAGTTTTTTTTAAATGACACTGCTTTCTACGTAGAAGGTGTTCCAGTTCTGGTATTTCTATTTCCAGTTTAAAATCTGCTTCAGTAAATTTAAACCCATTCATATGGGGAGCGGATGGTTGTATCTTAATGAAAAATTAAGTCCTCCTGCCTACAGGCTTCATGAGCAGGCTGCCTGGTGTCCACCGTGCTGTTTAACCAGAAGAAGCCTTACAGCAGGACGGTTTGAAGCTGTTCAGTCAGGAAGCCCCCAGTAAAGCCTGTCCTCGGACCAAAGTGGAGTCAAACAGGTCAGGTTTGACCAGCAACAAATGTCTCCCACAAGGCTGGGGCTCAGCTGCAGCTTTAACAGAGAGAGGTCTTCAGCCTCTACTACTCTGTTTGAGGTGTGAGGACCGACAGAAGGAGTGTCTGAAGGAAGCGGCACTTTGAATGTTTCTCTTCAGAACACGCATCTCCTTTATGTCTGTCTCTCATGGGACTGTCACAACAGTAGGGCCCATATGCTTGGGGTCCTCCATATACCCAGAAAAAGGCAACGTGGACGGGTATTTATGAATAGTAAAGGTTGTTTTTAAAATGTAATGTAAGAAGCATGGCTATCTATATAGATATACACATGCATAAAACATGTGTGTCATACATATACATAGATACAGAAAGAGATCACTTGATTAATTCATTCCAGAAAAGGAAATCAACTTGAGCTCATGAATAGGTCACTTACCTTGATCTGATCATTATACACTGTATACATGCATTAAAATGTTATAAGGTATCTTATAAATGTGTATAATCATTAATGACAGTTGAAAATACATTTAATTTTTTAAATTTAATTTAAAAAAAGAAAATCAGAATTACCCCCAAGATGTCCAAGAGGAGAACAACGCATTGTATAATAGCTTACATAATACAGGAAAACATGGGAACATATTGTAAATGTGCTGTGACCATCGACGGCAATTTTAAACCTCACTGAATTAAAACATGCGTAGCGGGTCAGTAAAGCACACTTCTGGGTGCTGCCCTCTCTGGCACTGCCCCTCCGCTCTGCTTTCCAGCCATCATGAACTGAACAGTCGTGGTCTGCCACAAAGTTTCTGCCTGGCAGCCCTGCCATGGACTGAACCCTCGGGAAACAAGAGCCAAACTGAACTCCTGCTCCTTTAAACCGTGGGTGGCAGACAGTCTGTCCCAGCAACAGGAAAGCTGGCCGATACACACACCTATTGTATGCCAGGTGTTTTCACATGATCTCACCTATTTTTCTTCATTAATTACTCCTCTAGGTAAGAATCGTTATCCTCAGTTTACAGAAGACTGAATCGGAAGTCCATGAAAAGCAAGTACACTGCCTTGCACTGCAAAGCTAGTCAAAGAGCAATGCAAAGATCACATCCAGGCGTTTTGACTCCCTGCCCAGGTTTTTCTACTGCCTCTCGGACTTTACCCCTAAGCCTGCATTTGGGTTAGGTCAGTAAATAGAATTACACAAGTAAAGTAACGTTAAATTTAAAAAGTAAATCTCAGTAGATATATGGTATTAAAGGTACTGATATTAATCCTGTAAGATTTTTTGTATATATGATACTGAAAATGGCAAGCAGAATGAAAGTGATAAAACTAAAATTATAATAGTCAAAATCTGTTTTCCTGTAAAATCTCTGCAGCTCATAACAAATAAAATCACTAAAATCCGCTTCTCCATATATGCCTACCCTAGGCTAATTAGAACTAAGAAGAGGGGATAAAGACATAACACTGAGTTAAAAAGCTTATATGACTGGGCCAGATTAAGATAAATACTGCATGTTTCATAAAGTTCCCACTCCTTCAGAAAGTGAAAGCAGAATTTCTTTGCTGTATCAGGGACGGAATTTCTACAAGCAAAAAAGATCTGAGAGTAAGTTCATGTCTCACAGAATCTCCTTTTCTTAAAATTAGCTCTTGTGCTACATAACAAACATTCTTTAAGCTCTTCCTTCCATCAAAAGGATTTAACCCTAGTTGAGCATATATCATTTTCACTATCTTCCTCCATCTGTTTTCTCTCATCAGATTTGAGGCCCATACTACTGCTTCATGGAGTGGGCAGATCCAAGCCTGTGTCTCACTTATGCCTTCCGGCTGTGCTGTAACTTGTAGAAACAACCAGATGGACCTTGAGTGCAGGCTCCCTCCTCCAAAATACCTGAAAATCCGCACAAATACCTGCTGTTCCCAAGAAGAGCAGTGAGGAGGTTCACCGGGTTTGCATGGTCCTGTGCTGAGCCACTTCTATCTGCCTTTGGGTTTTCTGTTTTTACAAAGGACAGCTACCTAGTATCTTCTAATGTGGGGACACAGGAGAAGAATGAATGCTGACAAAGGTTTCTCTAAGACTGCTTTAAAAGAAAGTGACTTATAAATACAATTCACACACAGTCAATTTCTTTATGAAAAGTATTTATTACTAACAGTAACAACTAAAATGTGGAAGTTCCTTACTTGGTTTCTCTTCAAACCATTGTTCTGAAGTTACACAATAATGTCCCTAGGTTCTGTTTGTTTGAAAAACTTCTGCCTGTTGCTTTTCTTCTTCTTATGTTGACTGCAATTGATAAATTACCTTGATTCTCAAGAATCTAGAAAAATGTAATCATAAAACTGTAACAATAAAATGTAAGACGTGTGTTTTTTTTCCTTGCCAAAGAAAGAATCTAGGAAAATGCTTAAAATGACTATGATATTACTAAGTTTGAGGGTAGTAATTTGACCCCTAATTTATTCAAACCCTCCTAACAATTCCACACAGAAAAAGTCAGCTAAAATGCTGATCTCATTATTGGTTTCTAGCTATAGCCCCAAAGGTTTACTAATGAGAACATCTATTGAGATTTTTTTCATGTACCAGTCACTCTAATAAGAGCTTTGCATGTGTTAGCTCATTTAACTCTCACAGTGACCCTAAGGAGTTACCGTGAGGACTGTCACTGCCATCTCATCTTCTAAACGAGGACACTGGGGACAGGATTTGAGTAACTCGCCCACGAGCACTCATGGAGTCTGCCGGAAGTGCACTGAGAGCCCGCAACCACCACACCATCACCTGTCTGTGTGGTCCACTCAGTGGGATCTACAACTGGAAGCCAGAAATATTTCCACAGGTCTCAAACGCAAACTCAGACTCACGTCTCTCATCATCTTCACTGCCTCCCTGGTCCTCCCGAGTCTTCTGGCACACATCGCTAGTCTTCTTTTGATATAGACCAAGACATTGGTGTCACGCCCTAAAGCAGAAGACACAAAATGCCAAAGCTTAAAAAGTCAAGGGCTTTCAGTTGAGCAGCAAGACAAACCTCAAGGTGAGGAGACTGGTCCTCTGGCTTTTTCCTACTTCCAAAAGTACTGACGATGTTGTCAATAGTAATGAACATGGAGTAAAGTAATCTCATTTAGTCTTCCAAAGGTCAAATCATAGGCCCAAATACCCAATCCATGCTTTTGAGTTAGGGTGCTACCATCTGATAATAAATAAAATCTTCTGCCACAAAATTCTGGGAAATAAATACTCCCACATTGTATCCAGTTCATAAGCAAGAAAATTCCACATTCTTCCAGTGTGCATGCTCTCAGTAAAGATGCACAGAGGTGAACCTCAGGTTGCATTCTGATGAACTATTTTTTTTCATTTTTGACATTAAGTCTGGAGAAGCCTCATCTTGAACTTCTGTTTCATATTATTCTTTCTCTAACACTGGTGACATCATAATCATCTCCAGGTCCCCAAAGCAGCTGATTTCAGATGGAAATATAACACATTCCAGATATGACAACAGAGTATGCAACAAAATGAAAAACCACTCCGTTGTTAGAGCAAGCATTGACAAGCTAAATAGTTATAACAATAGTCACTGAAATAGCTCTTAAAAAGTACATTAACAACTTCTTATCTTAATCTTTCATTTAATTATATGTCTTTTTGGATATGTTTCCAGACCAGTGAGAACATGCATGTGCTTAATCCTCAATAAAATTACCATGTTTGAGAAAGTATGACACACCTGTTATAGATTAAGTATACATATAATACGTAGCTATTAAAAGATGTTAAGACCAAAGTCTGAACATTTCAAGTTTTAAACAATGAGAACAAGATGTGTGCTGAAAAACTGCCAAATACCTACAAATTATTTTAAAGATGTGATTATACTCTTTTGGGTGGATTTAGGCAACAGGTTAGAAGGATTTAATCTAGAATAAAAAAATGAAATTTCTTAAGTTATAACGTAAAATTTTACGTACTAATTGCCATTTAGTTTACAAAACATCTTCAAAATATATCTTCAAAATGTACTGTTATGCTTTATTTTAAAAAGCAAGGTATAGATATGACTAGAGACCTCATTAACATATAAAACTCAGCGCAGAATAAAAATAAAAATCTGTGGATATGCTCATGTATACAGGGTGTAAGGCACAGATCTTCCTGGTGTCTTAGCCATAGATAATGCAGTCAATTCCTATACCAAATCCAAATTTTTTTTTTTTTTTTGTACTGGGAATCGAACTCAGGACCTTGTGCTTGCCAGGCAGGCAAATTTAATATTGAAATATAACTGCAAAATCTGAAGTATGAAGGAGGTCTTTCATATTCTCCAAAATGAAAGAGGAATAAAGGTGAAAGCAACTCCACCTTATGAAAACAACCCACATTTTGGTTGGACCCTGAAAACTTTCTTCTCCAGAAGGACCACTGAGTTCTGCTACAAGAACCAACAAAAATAAGTCAAAGGCCAGAGCACTCCGGAAATGCCTTTGCCTCATTTTCATGCTCTTCTCCCATAACAGCACTGACTCTGTTTAGTGTACTAAAGTGAAAACTGTCGACTCTAAAGAGTTAAATAAAAGAAGAGCATTGCTCTAATACAAAAAAAGATCAGGACCTAAAATACTTTCTAGAAGCTAATCATCGAGGTCTCTTAAGTAGGAGCTAAATGTTGATACAATCACCAGTAACTGTTATAGTTTTAATTGTCCTGTTCCAACTGAGGCTGTAGACGATCTGTAAGTAAGACCTTTGGTGACACTGATCTGAGTCTTATTTCTGGACCAAGACTTAAAATTAGGAGACAGGGAAGCAACTGACGAACAGAAATGCCTAAGAATTCTGGGACTAAACAAGGGTACCACTAACGGTGACTGCCTGTTCTTTCTGATACTGGGAGTCTGCGGGAAGGTAAGAGAATGCGGACGCAAACAGTAAGAAGTTATGTACCAGGTGCTCTTACAAAAAGGAAAAAAATATAATAAAAACCAAGAAAAGCAAAAGCCAGTATTTATTCTCTTCTAGGAGAATCAAATTTCGAATTTTAAACTGGATTTAAAATTTGCTGTGATGATTCACTTCCCAGCTCTGAGCCCCCAACAGGCCAACTGGAGGGAACCTTACTGTGTTGGGCTTCATACTGGGATCCATGATGCTGCAGCTGCTGGGAACGTCGGTAACACCCGTCTCCAGCCTTCAGGGCCTGCTTAAACAGCTTTTCTGCTTCAGCAATGGTTGTTGCTTCCTCTTCAGCCAACAGAATATAAGCAGTTGCACACCTGTCCATTCAGATAATAGCTACCATCAGTTACAAGTCCAAGGGCACGGCAGTAGAGTAAAGGAGCTCATGCACAGGGCAAGGAGTTATGCCAGAACATGCAGAGTGGCCAACCGGTTCATGCACCCCTGTTCGTGGCTGCTGATACAAAGTGACAGTACAAAAGAAATGTCTCTGTTTAGCTTGGGAGGTAGGGTGTGTAATGTTAGGCTCATGTATGGATCCAGCCCCCCATTAGTACACCGCCGTGGACAAGTTATTACTCTGCCTCCCAGACACAGAACAATCTGGAATGCCCTTGCTCACACTGCTGTGCAGGTTAAGTAAGGTGACGCATGTCAAGTGCTCAGCACGGCAGCCAGCATGCGGCACATGCTCCGTGATCAGCCAGGAATGGTAATGGGAATAGCGCTATCAAATGTCTCCTTCCAACGAAGTTAGAGGCTCTATATATGTTTATTTTCATTTACTAAACACATTCTCTCCAACCTAAGGATTACTTCACAGTGGGAAATTCATTACATCTAGTTACTCATTTAACAAAACCTGCTTCAGTATCTCAGAACACCAATGGTTTTCTGCTCTGAAGAGCACTACACAAACCTACGGGTACTGATGTCTCTGAAGAGCTTAAAATCTGACTCAGCCACAGTAGCAGGAAGAGGTAAGTCTCATGCCTGTGATAACAAACTACCCTTTGCTGCTCAGGATGTAGTAAGCACTGTAGCAGGCACTCAACGTATCTCATCTCACATAACCCTTCCCTGCCGTCACAGACGGTCAGCCAGGAAGGATATGCAGCTACAGATGAACCAGGGAAACTCTTGGAAATTCCAACCTTCCAAATCATATAAAGAACAACCTTCGCTGCCAATGAAGGCGAACATAATAGGGAAAAGGCGAGGCCAGAACAGACCACACAGCTTCTGATCTGCACCCACCCTTTCCCGTCCTTCCTCACTGCCTCTCTGTGGCCATGTCCCTTCTTATCTCCCTGTCACCACAAGAGAGAAAATAAACAGAAAGTAAAACCAAATGTTACTACTCATAAACTGCAATAGCCATCTAGAACAAGCAGTCTCAACAGACAATCTGAGTCGGAGTCACTGGTTAGTCTTATCCTTAAGGAGGGGTCTTGCAAGTTCTCTAGCCAATCCCTCTTAGCCAGGAACCATCAGTGGGGTTTCAAACTGGATGTGGTGAAGCAGGAAAAAAAATGCCCAGAAAAAAAGCTGGAAAATCAATTACTATGAAGGGCCGCATATATGGCTTGTGAAAGAACAGCAGTGATGCAGAACTGTCCAGTGCTGCGCTGGAGAGAATGACTGGGACAGGCATCGAGGAGGTATTTAACTTCAGACGCCTGCATGTAAATGGGCCAAGGGCAATGAAATGAAAATTGAGATTATGGTAGTGAGTGGTGGACACAGTATCTGAGGAACCAGCTGTAAGACTGCAGCTGGTAGGTTGGGAAGTCAAGAACGGCTGGTGCTCGCTCGCTTGTTTATTCATTTACATTTCCAACAGGTTTCTTATGAGGAGAGGCAGAGTAGCACTACTGACCAAGAAACAAACACCCATGTGGGAACTCATGAGCTTGGGGTAAAAACATGCTAAGAGCTTGTGAGTGAAGGAAAAAGAAGAGAGCAATAGAAGTGCTGATGGCTGGAGAGCACAGAACGGACGGCTCAGCTCGATGGAAGAGAGATGATGCACCCTTGTCACAACACAATACACGAACAGAAGCAAGAGAATGTGGTGATGGGGGCGCCGACCACCAGGCATCCGCCCGAAGTCTCACTTGGTGAGGAGCAGGGCACCGGACGGGCTCTTGACTTACTTTGGTAACAATTTTATCTCCCAGATGGTAGAGGAAGCAATTAGGGGAACTTCAACTCTGGACCTAATTCTGACCAAGAAGAAAAAAATAGTTGGTGAAATGAAATTGCTAGGAACATTCAGAGAGTCTCTATGTCATTTTGAAGTTTAAGGCGATCGAAGAGGGCGGTGGCCTCCAAGGTATTCAAAGAGAAGAGGTGTGTTCAGTGGCCCGGGGCGCGGAGGGAACGTGGGCAAGGGCACCGAGCAGCTTCCAAACGCCCAGCTGCAAGTGCAGTCGCCCACGGGCCTCCTGGGAGGGGTGGAGGGGCCGCTCACTGGTCAGGTTTTCAGGGGGCATGTGAGAAAAGACGGAAAGAGTGAACGCTACGAAAGAATGTAAGACAGTGTAATGAATTTATAAGAATGAATATGAGCACAGCTAAAATGCAGAATTACCTGAGACTTGGAAAGAAAAAAGATTTCCCCCCAAATAGACCCACTAAAGGCGACTAGTCCATGCTTATAAGTTCTTTTTAAGGCCTTACACACTCTCATTTCTCCAAAACAACCAAAAACACAAGCAAAAAAGGCAAACAACAAAACAAGGAAAGTGTATGGTTAATAGCAGCAGATAACAAAAAGAAAGGAAAGATCTCTCACTCTTATCTTGTTCCTGACCTCTTATCAAGGAGAATGATCATCAGACTGAAAAGGGGAGAGAAATCAACTCTGAAATGGGTAAAAAGATAATACAGTAAACAACCAAACCACTTTAAACGAATTACTGTGCTGGGATGGGAAAATCCCAGAAAGCCGAAAGGCCCCGCGGGCAGGCCATGGAATTGCTCTCTGTGGATAGCTGAACTGCAAAGAATGAAAAGGTTCTAGAAGATGAAAAGACAAATCTAGTATGCATTTTCAGAAAGGGGACGGAGGCTGACTTCTAAAACTATGGGACAGTGATTTAGATAGTGTAATTGATTAATAAAAAAGACGGTCTCCAAGCATGTTAAAAAGAGAAATAACCACTAGCAGTCTGGTTTGATTCACTAAAAATACAGAAGTCAAGTTGTGCTAGTTTCATTTTCTCTAGTAGATTTATTATAAATTAAAGATCCACAGCTACAACGTGCATCATTAAGATCAAAATGGAGAAATGCAGACCGAGCTACAGGGTAACCAGGTAGCTTAGGACTTGGGTGAATAACACCAAGGAACGGTGATCTACGGGGATGCGAATCTGCAGTACGGTTTCCATGTGTCACCCACAGGGCTCTGTTTATGGACCTGATTGCTCTCTGAGAAACACGATAACAAGACAGAAGGCGGGCGTATCAAATTTGCAGATGACAGGAGGATGCAAAGTAAATACTTCGCGTGACAAAATCAAACATCATATAGATCAACTCATTAAAATGGCAGGATTTCCAACTCGCAAGAGATTTTTTTTCTAAGATCTCTTGAGAAGATTCTGTAACTATCTGCAGAAAAATCATGAAATAGTTTAACAGTGACCACTTGGCAAGGGCTGTGTCGAGGTGATCCAAGCACCAGATGGGTGGCTGTGCGAAGTGACCTTTAAGGTCTCTGCCAATCCTGAGTTTTTATGACTCTCACTTTAGAAATCTTTCTCATTTTCTGAGATCTCCAGAAGAGATTTCCCAGTCTTCCTTGGTAACCCATAGAATGTTTAATAACACTAATGACAACATTTCCTCTTATCTTTGTCTTGATCTTAAAATATTTTTAAAATATTTTTTGCCTCGTGTCTTTGTTATGTTTCCCCACTAACAGAAGTTTTCTCTAGAAAATGTGACAGTGCACCTGATCTTTCTTTCGGGAAGAATTTCTCTGTCAAAATGTTTTAGATATATAAAGGATTGTATTTGTTTTATGTCCTCACAATATGCCAGAGACAGCCTTTAAAGGATTTCATTTAAGGTCACAGAAAAGCCACTGGATTGACTAAAACCACCATCATATGGTTGTCCATGAAACTTTGTAAGAAAATTTTATGAAATGTATCCCCTAAGTAATCCCCCAGTGCAAATGTATGCTTCAAAGTGTCCCATCAAGAGCAGCTGAATGTACTCAGCAAAAGATGAGATTTACTTTTTGACGGACTTGCCCCTCCTACACTTACTCATTTATCTCCAAGGCTTCGTGAGCTGCCGAAATCCTTGCCTGAGGGTTTCTCTCTCTCCAAGCTTTCTGCATTACTATTTCAGAAACACAGAAAAAAGCAAGTCAGTCAGTATATATGATTAGGAAGCACCAACAGATACATTAACAGGCTTTCAGCTTGAATTACAGGAAACGGTTTCATTACTAAGAGGGCCAGTACAAATCTCCAAACTCACTTTTCTTCAATTACTGATATCAAACCTTTTTTGCATACTTATAAGATTACAGGTACAAAAGAAAAGGCACTCTAGGAGAGATTTTATTTCTATTGCACATCAACATCATTTGGGATTACAGAACATGTGTTATTTTACAAAGTTTGAAATGATATTGCTAATTTCTTCATTTTACTTAGATACAACACAGTTCCTACAGATCATTTTCCCAGGTGCATACTTGCTATGGGGTCTGGACATTAGAATATTCTGAAATCATTTGAAGGACTATAAATTGTACCCGTGAAAGGTGCTTTAGGTTTTTGTTTTACATATATACATGTTTCTCAAATCCACCTGCAAATCAGAGCATTTTGTGAACATACTGAAAAAAGTCCCATAGTTGACAATATTTATTATACTATGATGTTCTGCTATCATAGAAAAAAAGTAATTTCCTTAATTTGCTTGAAGTATTTTACTATATTTTGTAAGAGCATATAGAAATTCCTTTTTTAAAAAGATTTTTTCACCTATTTACTTTGATTAAGTTTCATAATATAAAATATACCAGTAGAATTATTTGGAACTTAAGCAGTATGAAATGTATGCTAAACAAAATCTTCCTTACGATGGAAAATGCACATGGGCTCCAGCAGCCAAGGCTATGCTCCCACTTAATGCTAGTAAGCTTAAAAGCAGGCATGTAAGTCAGTAAAATACAGTGTAATCATTAATCACGGGTAGTCAGTGACTCCCACCTTCTAATTAGAAAATCATCAAGGAAATAAGACTCTTCATTTCACTTCAACTATGAATTTAATTAGCGTCACATCAGACTTACATGCCTTCAAAATACATCAATGCAACTTTGATACAGTTTAAAATCATGTTCTAAATTAAAATAAGCCCCATTTCTACACGGATACTTCACTATATATAATACCTTAAATACTTCACTTTTGAACTCTCAGAATTCTGGGTTCTACTAGTCAATCAGCAAATTAATATTGTGTTCAATGGGTTCAATAGGGCAGATAATCTACAAGCATAACCTTAATATTTAAGACAAGCTAAAAAACTAAAACAAAACAGAAAACCCTCCCACCCAGCAACTATGTGAAGGGTTCTCCATACTTGCATCTGCAGGACGCAGATGGTCTGAGTCACAAGTAAAGAACGTCTGGTGGTCCTGGGCAGAGAGATTCATGTCATAGTACGTCAGAGGCTCTCGTCCTGTCACCCACGTATACCTGTAAAGGAAAAGTAGGATGGTTAGACCGTTCTGAGAGAGTAAAGTAAGACAGACTAGATGATAAAGTGCAGATGAATTGAAATATAAACCACTAATGACTAAGTTATGAATAAAAAAACTTTTAATCATCCTGTTCTTTAGGAATTACACAGCAGGAAAGAAGTAAACATTTTTCCCAGTGTTTTTGCCTTAAAATTGTACTAACCCCTGATGATGGAAAACTTTTTCTAATTAGAATTATGATTGACATTTTCCAAAAGCTATGAAAATCCCAATTTGGCTAGTTATTTCACTAAATTAAATTTTAAAATAACTTCTCTGGTAAATTTATAACCATGTTCCAGGTAAGCTTCAAAATGTTCATTGTATAATATATACTAAAAAGAATAATTATAACAGAAAAATTCTAAAAACTACACACTTCTGTACATTATCCGAAGTCCAATGCTATACCACTCATAAAACAGAAAAATCAAAATATTTGAGGACAGTATTCAAAAAACAAAAGCACTAGTACTGCTAGTACCCTGAATGAACCAGCAAAAGTACTTGCTGCCATCCTTGTGTTCTGAACCAGACCCCTTTGCTTCCCAAGCTGTTCATGTGCTCACCGGTTATACTCAGCGCCCCTAAATAAATTCAGGGGGTTTCGCCACACTTTGCATTCTGCAACGAGAGAAACATGGAAATGTTACACATATGTCCAGTGACATTACAAGATAATTAACTCAGCAAAGCACTCTTCCTGGGCATTTGATAAGACAGTTCTATTCGCTATTCTTAACATAGGAAATAACACAGAAAAACCTACTGGTTAATCAGAAAATGTGGCTCATGCACCAGGACTTTGGAAAGTTTTGCCTATTCTCTTCTGGCCCTAGTTTTCTCATTACTAGATCAAAGTACATGCCCAAATCAGCTTCTTCATAATGTCCGTAGTTATTTCTGATCTAAATAGATTCTATGAATTTACTTGTAAAGTTATAGGTAAAAGATACAAGTAGAAGTAAAACTTTTTTGTTATTCTAAAATATATCTTACAATCACATCATACCTGACAAAATCAACTTAAATGCTACAATATAATACACAGAGCTGTAGACTTTTAATTAAGGACTATACTATTTCTCATTTTGCGGTAATTCATTAGATTATTTTGGGATTCCTAAAAAGAAGCAATAAGTAATGAAATTATCACTATTGTAAGCTGAAGTGCCATGAAGATTCAATTATTTGAAAGCATTTTAACATCATCTCCTTCATGTCAGATATTAGTCGATTGTGCTTCTTTGCTGCACAAGGACCACAGAAACTTGGAGCCACAGAGTTGTCTAACTTAGAGAAGCAGGCAGTAGTACTGAGGTTGTTACTGCAAGTGCGTGACTAATAGGCCAAAATTCTTTTACAACACCCTGTGATTAAGACTTTCTACTGATTCACAATACTAGATTTCCTTGGATGAATACAGTTTTATTAGAAAATAAAATCAGCTAACCATAGTCAAAACATCTATGTGTGTATATATCACCAGCCAAAAAACACACCCAACCACACACAGGCATATAGTTATTGCAAAATTCTAGGGCACTAAAGGCCATGTGATGATTCACCAGGGCTTTACCCTGTCCCGTATATCTAACATCCACCCTTCCACCCACGCATCTACCCAGTCACCCATCCATCCACCCAATGAGCATCAATTTGAGCATCCAGTGGGAGAAACAAGTAAGCCATCAGTTACAATAATGTGATAACAGAGCACAACGCAATATGAGAATACTGTGTACAATCTCAGTAAATACTTGTCCAAACACTGAATGAATGGTATACACATAACAGGAATACATGTTTCCACTTAAAGAAGATGCAAATGAGGGAATCTTGCAATCAGGGCAGAACCTTGCTTTAAGTTACTCCATGTTTGTAACATAATGGGCCTAAATTTTCTTGTCACTTAGCTTAACCTGTCATTTAGGAGATGACCTTCGCTCACTTAGTGCAGCACCTCCGAATTCACTCTTAAGACCCTGAGACTCAAGGGCTGTCACTTCATCTGGCGCTGATTAGAAAACTATGTTTCCCTGGAGTATTTGCTTTTTTGGCAAACACAGAGCCCTTCGAAAGGGTCAGAAACACCCCGACTCCAGGTCACGGCTTGAGGCACACTGACGAGCCAAACAAGCACCATCGCCGCCTTCCCGGCTTTTAGGACTCTTGAGACCTCACCAGCGCCAACGCGCCCCAGAAAAACGTTCAAGATTTAAAGTGCTCTTCTGGAAGCCTCACGAGTGCTGCCAGGCTGTAGGTAGCACGAACTGTGTACACAGATTTATGTCCAAGGACGCTCACCGTATAACTATTCCGGTCAAGCAGAGACACTTGGGGGAAATGCTTCTCCCTCTACTGAATTTAACATGAAATCTTAGTAAAAAGATTACGGCAAATATTTTGTCTCCAACAAACGCATTATTATACTGCCTGGAACGACAACCTTTGTTCACACAAGAATTGAAAAAAGTTGTCCTCAATTAAAATGTAACTTTATTATATATGAAATGAAATTAAAGTATTTCTAAACAAAAATAACTCCGAAAGAGAAGTCCTGTGTATAGCCATCCACTCACTGACTAGCGCCTATGAAAGGACGAATCTTCACTTATGAAGTACCACAATACAGCCAGCAGGGGGTGCAGCAAATATTATGGAATCATGTTTGTACGACTTCTACCAAGAGAACTGAACTCAAAAAAAAAATCCTTACCAACAATGGTGTCAGATATATATTCTGTACTCATTTTTCAACTATCCCTGAAACTTAGAAATGGAAATCTAAGTAACAGCAACAGATGTAAACTAATCTAAGTAAGAAAACTGTGATAAAGAGGTACAGAAGAAATATGTTAATAAATTATATCCTTTAAGTTGATGATGCAGGGCAGGTTATTTTCCTTTTAGAAATAAGCAGTCTAGAGACCGTACATAAACACACATCAAAGTTTTGCCTTAAATTAGGTCGCAGCTACGTTAACGTGCACTTTGCTGTTTGCTCCATGGTCTTGTGTTTACTACAGAAACCCTCGTTCCCCAGAACCACTCTAGGAAACACACCCCACAGATGTCAGGCTGCCCGGCACGGCTCAGTGATATGGACAAAGAGCGTAAATGCAAAAAAACAGAGTATGAAAATTGAAGAGGAAATTAAACTCAGGTCTCTCAAGAGTTTCTCCTTCTGAGGTCCCATTTCGTATGTGTACTTTTGGGGAATAAATTTCTTACTTCAAATCAGATTTAAAATTTGACCTCCAAAAGGAATTTTCATTCTTTATTAACGGCAGTTTTAGCGCCTCTGGGAAGTACTGAGGGTTGACTGGACACTGCCAAGAGCCTGCTGATACCGACAGTCTAGCAATAAAGAAGGCCGCAGAGGACAGACATCCTCTCTCCGGCTCCGTTCACAGCAGCAGAGGTAGTCTCTCCCCACAACTGCAGCACAGAGGGTCTGACCTCAGCACGCACACAAAAATACAATTCAAGAGAAAGGGAAGCGGCCGACACTGAAACAGCACTGGGTTAGCTCCCAGCCTCTGCAGAGCAAACCCGCTCCTCTGTCACACTGCGATGCTTGCAAGTCTCTGGGTGGGAAGCAGCATAAAGACTAACGCTCACTGCCTGTAAGCACTTCTCAGAGTGACCCTCAGCTCCAATCCTTTCTGCACCCTTCCCCGCTACCAATCCCTACTGAAACCTTCCGCAGCAAGCAGGCTTGTTTCTTGTAACGTGTTGCCCTATCCTGCTATTCCTCAAAAATGCTCACTCTATCACTCCTACGAGTGTGTGGTTCACAGACATATTAATTGGTTTTTATGAATTAATCCTTGCCCTGGGCTCTGGTTTACAGAATCAGATAGAGCTTGTCACTCTGAGGCAGGTATAGCCTTCCTCGAAGATGACAAGGCGGGGGCTGACAATTTAGCTCAGCAGCAAAGCGCCTGCCTGGCAAGCACAAGGTTGTGAGTTCGATTCCCGGTACCAGAAGAAAAACAAAACAAAACAAAAAAAAGAAAATGAAAAGGGGAATGAGACGCTCTGCAGCACTCACCTAAGACCTGGGCAGAAGGCAGCAGGCGTTCTGAGGGAACCACAGATACCTCCCTCTGCCACAGCACTCACAGAAAACCAGAACTCAACTTTCAGAAAAGCCAAAGGGCTCTAATGTCACACAGAAACAAATATTATTCTACATCTAGCTTACTGAAGTCTGAAATATTTTCTTTCTGAAATTAAAAAAAGATAATCCCCATTCCTGGGCACTCCAAAATATATAAATTACTTATATAAATTGGGAAATTTGTATACTGGAAAGTTACTACCTTTTCCTAAAACCCTAAACCTGAAAGCAACATTATCAACAACAGGAGAAGCAACTTTTGTCATAGTTGTAAGCTTTTCATTGATCCTTTCTACAAAAGCACTTGAAGTTCAAGTGACCTATATCCCTCTCATAAATTAGAAAAATGTACATGTTACACACTTTTCATAGAAATAAACAGTAAAGTACAGGAAGAAAGATCATTCCCCACAGTCTGCAGTAAGAAAGATGAAGGTTTGTCGTCCAGACATCCTCTTAACTATATATACAACAAATCTGTTAACCTGTAACATCGCACTTGAAGATCCTGTGACATCAATTAAAATTTTTAATAGAGGAACAGTTCTAAAAACTCCTCTGGGAAATTTAAAGCACTTTTAAATACTTTAGTTCTAAAGCATGATAGCAAAGGGCCCTAACTAAAGTTTCAATGGATATATTACTATAATCAGATTGACTCCAAGAAAATCAATTTCTCACATATGATCTATCTGTATTTATTAGCTTTGATAGCTGAGAACTAAACACTGTACTCAATCCTCTATATCATACAGATTAACTTTAAACTATTAAAAGTATCAGCTGGGTGTGGTGGTGTACCCCTATAATCCCAGCTACGTGGGAGACTGAGGCAGGAGGCCCAGCAGTGCCAGGCCAGTGCAGAGAACTTAGCAAGATCCTGTCTCAAAATAAAAAGTAAAAGGGCTGAGATATAGCTCAGTGCATCAGAGCACTTACCTAGCTTGAGTCCCTGGCTTTAATCCTCATACTGAGAGAGGGAGACAGACAGACAGACAGACAGACAGGGACAGAGACAGAGAAAGACAGACACACAGAGGAGGCAAAGGGACAGATAAAGACAGAGACAAGGAGAGCTGGAGAGGACGAGGGAGAGGGACAGAAGAGGGGAGAAGAAGACAAGGTGGGGAGGAAGAGAGAAGGCAGCTTTAACTGTTTCACAGCTCTCTGAAATATTGGGGAAATGATCAGAGTAAAGGTACAAAGTAATGATTGCTTTCATTTCAATACAAGTACGTTACTACTTCAAATTCTTCCATGAAATAAGCAAAGAAGTAAGTATGAGTTTTAAGACCATTTTTATTGATCTGAGGGTTGACTGGACACTGCCAAGAGCCTGCTGATACCGACAGTCTAGCAATAAAGAAGGCCGCAGAGGACAGACATCCTCTCTCCAGCTCCGTTCACAGCAGCAGAGGTAGTCTCTCCCCACAACTGCAGCACAGAGGGTCTGACCTCAGCACGCACGCAAAAATACAATTCAAGAGAAAGGGAAGCGGCCGACACTGAAACAGCACTGGGTTAGCTCCCAGCTAACCAATCTGTCCAGTCAACACTAGACAGCACAGTATTGTCTTCCAGAATACTACCAAGATATTTGTCTTTAACTGCATTTGTCCTGTATTTCTCACTGGTCATTTGACTTTAGTCAATCAACTCTAGCAAATAATGTAGAAATCATAAAATAAGTTTATTAAATAAATGCTCACGAGAATCCAAAACTATTTGGGGCCTTTTCCCCATTTTATTGTGACCTAATCTGGCTTTAGAGGCCTTGCAGAAGGTCTGCAGAGGGTCTCAAATTGAGAATGTGACTGGGCTCTGAGCAGTCCCTTCCCTGAGAAAGGGAGAAGTTGGCCACATTCTAACACCCTCTGCATCGTTAGTTCACAAGCTGCACTGAATTAAAAAATGGCAATGAGAAACGCGGTGAAGCGATGAAACACACCAGCAAAGTTGATCAGAAACTGTGTATTAGGAAGGAAAGATCAGTTTAGCTCACAAATGAAAAAATACAAGTGTAAGGTTCACAAGTGTTAATTTTCATCAGGGCAGAAGCATGGCTAGAGTGAGCAGTTGTGTAACTAACCACTGGCCCACAGTGTCTTCCTACCCTGTCATCCCAAGTCATTCTTATGTAGGCCTGGTCTTTCAGGTTTTAGCCAAAACCAATGATTCTTTAAGGAAAGAGCTACAGTGAGTTTTCAGAGAGATAAATGTTTATCACTGATAGTTTCAATTTAATTTTAACTTTTAAAATGATCTTTTAAATCAGCAACATTATGAAACTACCTTTGCTAATGCCCATGGAAGTTTTTCAGCCATATTATAGTTCATGTACGGTTCAGCAAAGATGTACCTTGTGCTACTCCAAGAAAATCTGGCTCCCACTTGTTATTCATGTGATGGGCATTTTTTATTATGAAGGTGTTATGGTTTGTATCTCCGAGCTTTATGTGCTCAGAGGTGGGGCTTTTGGAGGTGGCTGGATTAAGGCTGTGACTGACTGGTTTAGCACAGTCTGGGTGTGGCTGAACGGATTTACTGCAAATAGAAGCCTCACCCTGGGTGTGGGTCTTTCCAGCGCAAATTCTTGAAACAGGCTTGCAGGGGACACTGTCATGGGCTCTAGGTCTTCAGCTGGACTCATGCCGGACATTGCCATGAGATCCAGGCCTTCAGCCAGATTCTTTGGGTCTTTAGTGTGTGGACAGATTTCCTGCACTCTTTTGTACTAAACTTTTTGGGTAACTATTATAAAACAATCCTATAAATTATGTCTTGTATTAAATTGTTTTCCTTATAAACCCCAAAGTACAACAGTATCCATTCACTGAAATCTGAGAAACTACCAATAACAAGGTTGGTCTCAGGTTGGGAACACTGATCTAAATGATTATGAGCTACAATAAGTGGGAGAAAAAGTAAAATTAACAATGTAAATATTTCCTTTCCCTAAGATGCTTACACCCTATTTCTCTGATATATATTTGTCTAATCATTCAGAGGCTTACCAACTTTCTTACCTTTTACATTCATAATTTTATAAGAAACTTTGCATACCTGAGACACTTTGCCTGTTGGAATCTGAGTCCCCATTACTGGAGTTAGAATTATTGGAGGAGTTGTTGTCAACCCCTCCCAGTAGGGGGCGCAAGTGGCTTACTGAGACTTGTTCAATGAAGGATGTTCCGTATTTGCGAAAATACCACCATTCAAATATCTGGAATAGAAAAACAGTAAATGTGTTTATATTTCTGTCATCATTTATGATTTCTTTATAAACTATGTTATGTTTACTAATTCTGTCTTTTCAAAAATAATTTCTCCTAACAATAACATAAGTTCTTAAAGTAGTTTTCTCTGCTAAAGACTGATTTTCAAAAAGAATCTGCAACTACAATCCATGGATAAAAGAATATTATCAAAATCTGTTCCCTATTATGGTCCTCCAAATTAACATAATATTCAAATACCAAAATCACCTTCGCTAAAGGGCAGCTCCAGAAATGCATGTCAATAGGCCATTTTTCAAAGTGCACGCCTGGTAATCCCAGCACTTGGGAGGTGGAGCTAGAAGGATCTAGTGTGAGTTCTACGCCAGCTTGGGCTACATAATGAGTTCAAGACCAGCCTGAATTACATAGTAAGACCCTGTCTAAAAACAAAAACAAAAACAAAATGGAAGAATCACAAAGTATAGTTTATGAAATGTTCCAATTCTTGGCATTTTCTATTATTACATACAGTTTTTCAAAGAAAAATTCCCTTTAAGGAAAAAAAAAAGGTTAGGCCTATTAGAGAAACACTGGTTTTACAGAACAAAGACAACGGAGAAAACCAAGCACTGTGGTGTATGTCTGCAGTCCCAGCTCCTCAGGAGGCTGAAACAGGAAGATCACTCGAACCTGGGGTTCAAGGCCAGCCTGGGCAACATAGTGAGACTCCCGTTTCAGGAGAGACGGACAGAGACAGGGAGGAGAAAAGTCATTTATTGCACCTATTTGCTGACACTTAGCAATGTCTTCCTTGCTGGTATACCAAGCCTTTGGTATACCATTAATGTTTCTTGGTTCACAAGCTTACCAACTGCTATGCGCAGTGAACTCCAAAAGACCAAAAAATAGATTTTCATTAATAAAAGGCAAGAACACCGATGTTCATGTGCTCGGACTGCAGTCAGGACTTCCTGGGCAGTGGAAAGTAGCCTCCTGAAACCCTTCCTTCGCATTTGTGGTGCGGGGGGTTGAACCCAGGGCCCCGCGTGCATGAGGCGAAGGACCTACTGCTGAGCTATGCCAGGGCCCAAGCCCTGCCTGCCCACACCCCTCTGCCTCTACCCGAAACACCTCCCCACGCCTGCTCAGTTACTCTCGCCCACAACCCCTCATCTCCTTCTCTGACTGAGCACTGCTCCTTGAGCACTCATAGATAATTCCACAGAAGAAATTTAAAAATTAAAAACATCCCAGAGTCTTACAGGATGGCTATACTACATTTTTACAAAATATAGAATAGCAGAATTAATTTCCATTATCTGTACTTATTTCATAAAAGCAACACTTCATTACTCTTAAAAGGACTTTGAGTTGTAATATAAAAACTGCTATTTGTGTCTTTTATTCTACCACAACTTTCTAAAAAGACAGAAAGAATATCTATGAATACCAAAAAAAAGTATCAATCAAATCAAATGTTTCCAATCCTATGGTAGTACACTTTGACTTAATTCCAGAAAGTTACTCCTAGGACTACACAAATTTTCACATCGGAACGTTCACGTAATTTCTCTGGACAGCAGTGGTATGACAGTTATGAAGGGACAAGACTTCCGTAACATTTAGAATAAGAGTTTTTCTTTGAAGAGGAAGAAAGTTCACGAATGGTAAATTTATAAACCAGAGGTGCAGAACAGAGTCTCGCCAGGTGAGTTATTTGATCTATTTGGATACCAGTTCCTTTGACGGTAAAGTGGAAATCGTATTTATTATTTATCCTCAAGGCCCTCCGTTCTCACACCAACCCTAGGTAAAATGCTTTTTCCAGTGTGTGACACAGGTGGTTCTCAAAGTAACAGCAAAGCTTCTATTTATTATGTCAGTGACGTGCACGGCCCCAAGGGCAGCAGACGCCACGTACCGCGAGGCAGCCTCTCTGCTCCCCCACAGTCTATGTATATGTATGTATACATACATATACATACATATATACATACATACTGTATGTATGCGCCTTCTCTACTAGTGCGCTTTAGTGGAATCCACGTGAATCACTGCGACAAGGGATGCTCACGACTCCACAAAGCCCTCAGGAGCTCCGTGGGTTTGCCACTGTTGACAGAGGAGGACTCCAGAGAATCCAGATCACCAGCCACAGAACTGGCAGTGTCTCTCGGTCGCTGGTGGGAGAGAGTCCTCCTCACCCTCGTCTTTGTTCTGCTCTCGGTTGTGCTACTGGTTTTAGTTCATTCACTCTGCCAACAGAACGAAGGGTTCCTAACCGGTCATGGCTGTGTTCTAGGGTCACTAAACTCGGTCCCTGCCACTGAAGCCCACGCCGCACACCACAGGCTGCCCCTGCCGTGCCTGCGCCCACCACACAGAAACACCTTAAGATTCTTCAGATTTCTCAGCTCCTCTAGTGGAATCCAAGAATGTCAACGCGAAAAGGAACCTTACAAGACTATGCATAGAGTCCATTTACAGAGGAGAGCGAGACAGAGTGACCTGACCGAAGTCACGAAGCTAAGTAGCCACTCCCGGCTTGCTGCCATCACCTTGTCAGACCTCTCTTCACACCGCCTTGCTGCGTGTGAACAAACACAAACAGATGCAGCCTACCCTTTCCCTTCCGGTGTCCCCTGACAGCGTCCTCTGAGCTTTCTCAGCTGTAAGACCAGTCCAGAAGCAGTCTGGCAAACGGGCCCAGGCAATTCATCTGAAGGGGCAAATGACGCACATTAACGGAACCTTTGCACTTTAATAGAAGACAGGCCGTCTACCCAGTACTTCTGATACAGGAATGACAGACCTCCGCAGAGACTGAGCTCTCTGCGCCGCTGTTTGGGCGTGGGGTCTTCTCAGGTACTGTCGTACCCCATCAGTAGTGTGGCCCTGCTGTGCACAGCACTAGCACAAAACAGGACCGCCGTCCTGCTATGCGCTGCGTGAACAACTGCGAAGGAAGAAAGGAGAGACCCTGATTCCCGAAACTTCAGTACAACAATCCTCCTCTTATCCCCAGACAGGTCAGGTTTGGGGTAAGCATGTCGAGGTGTTTTTTTAAAAACTGCATAGATCCAAAAAGGCAGACGGTGCTATTTAAAGCACACATATTTGGTGTCACTTTGAATTCTTTCCCGGGTGTATACCTACAATATAAACAGGAAAGCTCTCACAAACAAATTCAGACTTATAGCTACCTCATGGACGTGCTAGTACTTCCATGAGTCTGACACAGCAGAACAAAACAGTTTCTGATCTGCCAGATGACCAAAGCCTTTAAATACAGGGTATAAATTAACAGGGTGGGATTTGGACCAGAGATAGAACATTTGCCTACCATGTGCAAGGTTCTGGGTTCATTCCCTAACTGAAAAAAATGTATAAATACACACACACAACACACACTTTTTTAGTTTTAAAACCTTAATCCCTCTAGTGCTTTTTCCCCCAGTTAGTCAAGATGCACTGTGAGAATTATACAGATCCAAGTAAGATGATACCTAAAAGGTATGGTTGGATTTTAACATTTAGTAAGTCAGCAGTGACCCTATCATCTAGTTTAAAAGCAAAACCCTTCAAACTAGAAAGCTGGGTTATGTGACCTTGGGTGGTTCTCTTACTTCCCCAGGGTTTGGTGTCCTCACAGACACAATAAAGCCAGCATAAGCGCTTCGTTACCATTGGATGGGGTGGGGGATGACTACACACTAGATGGGCACGCTGGAAGGCTGAACGAATGGATGGTAAGGTTGACCCAGTCGATATAATGGAATGTTGTCTAAATAAACAGCAGAAGCATAAACATTTTGTGTTTATTTTGCTTGTGATTAAAAAAATAGCTGGATATGGCAAACACCTCTAATCCCAGCTACTTGGAAGGCTGAGGCAGGAGGATTACAAGTTCAAGGTCAGACTGGGCAATTTAGCAAGACCTTACCTCAAAATTTTAAACAGCATTATAATGCAGATCAGTGGCAGAGAGCCCCTGAATTTGATGCCCAGTACCAAAGGGGAGCAGGGAAGGAAAGAGAAAGAATTCAGTGAAAAGAGAGAAACTGAAGAGGAAAAGGAACACAGGGGCTGGGGATTTAGCTCAGCGGCACAGCGCCTGCCTGGCAAGTGCAAGGTCGTGAGTTCGATTCCCGGTACAGGGGAAAAAAAACAAAAAAAAAAAAGACAAAAACAAAAATCAAACACAAGATGAAAAGGAACACAAAGGATCAGGGAGCACAATGCCCAGGGCCCAGGAAGCACACTCACCCTACATTATCCTACCTTGAAAGACAAACCATTTCTTGCTCTAAGACAGGAAGAAAGAAAAGGACAGAATAGAGGGAGACATTTTATTTTAGAAAATGGGGTGTGATTTGAGCTGTCTCAGGCAAGGCAGCAAACAAAGGGAAACACCTGGGTGACACTGATCTCTGAGGAGGTACAGGTAACGTTTATCTTCTGGGAAGGAGGGAAGTGCCAATGGAATCAAGGATAGCAAGGCTGAGGAATGGTTTGGATCCATATTTTGCACAGCGGAAAGGTCAGAAGCTGCCTTCAGGGCACAGATCATATTTAAAACTGAGCCATGCAGCAAGAGCCCGTTACCAACGCTCAGCGGCCACCCCCGATGCTACGCCCCAGAGCAAGGTGACCAAGAAGCACAGGAGGAGGCAGAGAGCCTGCGCTGCCGGCGGCTAAGGTGCAGATTTATCTTCACCCAGAGAAAGGGAACGCAAGTCTGGCAAAATGACACATCCAAAGCCCTTGAATCCACCTCTCAGACTGTAAAGTAGGACCTGCCTATCTGAGGAGCCTTCTTTTGACTTGTACGTTCTGTATATGAAACACTTCTCTTTGTGAGCGAGGGATTTCCCCACATTCTACACTGTACCCCAAAATATCTCAAAACTCCCATGCACAAAAATTAGTAATTCTACATCAATTCTGTTAAATCCATGGAAAATGCAAAGACGCCAAACCCTGAAATTAGCCAAGATGTGTAAGG